GGACCCGAATTTATGCAGGGTTATTAAGGAGAGGGCTCAGGGTTATTAAATCCTGAGAACCAAGGAAGAAAGGGGCCAAGGGGGTGGGGCAGGAGGCTGCTGGCATCTGAGAGTGTGTCTGGTTCGTGTCTGTGTCCTCTGGTAGCTCTCACAGTGCCTTGACCTTAGTAGGCACTCGATGCAACCTTTGGATGAAATGACTCATGCATCCCTAAGTGCTTTAAAGGGCTGACCTGCCGGAGTATCCAGAACAGCAGGGAGATGGACGGCCACGGCTGCTGGGCAGGTGGGTTACAGAGGCAGGAGGCGGAGGAAGGGGCCGGAGTCTGGAAGTCAGCAGGGGTCCAAAGAGGAGGTGGGGGAAGTGATAAGGAAAAGGGCAACCACGGGGAGACGGAAAGGACTTTCAGGTCCCAGAAGGCAGCGGGCCCTCCCCCTGAGCGTGCTGAAGTCTGAGGAGGGCGCTGGGCTCCAGGTGTGATTCCGAGCCAGCGGAGGCCTGTCTGCCAGAGCTCTGGGCGCATCTCCTGGGACTCACTTTCCCTCAAGTAAAGATGGAAAATGACAGCGTGTCCCAGCTCTGCCCTGCTGTCCAAAGCCCGCAGTGTCCCAGGAGAAAGGACACATTGCTCCTCCGGCGTGCGGCTACGGAGCTGTGGCCCAGTCCCCCAGCTCCGGCTGGCTGCAAGTCGACACAGAACACAGGTTCCACGGCCTGACATCCTGTCCGGACGGTCCTCTGGTCTCTTGGGCCCCCAGATAACTGAACAGCGTGGGAGGGCGTCCCGGGGCGCCCAGGGAGAGAGCCAGGAGCCCGTCTTCTGGCAGGTCTTCTGCACCAATTCTTTTGCTTGCTTAGTCGCTCCTCCTTCCCGTGGGACTGTCAACCATCCAGGGTGGGGCACCACCTTTTGTTCTTAAGAAATCAGTGAATTCATATATGTAGCACAAGTTTGCTGACTATGTTCCAGTCACAACAGAGAAAACACGTTCTTGCACTCCTGGCACTTGTGCTTTAGTGGAAGGAAGGGGTAGGTCTGCAGGACACTGGTAAGCAGACAAAGGAAGAAACAAGACGGTTTCAAGGGGTGAGAAGTGCTACACTGCCGACATCACAGGTCCTCTGGTGAGACCAACTGGGCCCGGGGGGCGGCCAGGGTGACGTGAATGTCAGGCAAGGGCAGCCTGGGAGGAGGCAGTGTTGGTGTTACCGTCCCAAGGATGAGAAGGCGCCAGGCGCGTAAAGAGCACAGCAAAGAACTTCCAGGCAGAAGAGACGTCAAGTGCAAAGGCTGGTAGAGTGGAAATGGGATGTGCCCACTCAAAGAGCAGAAAGCTTGTTAGGCTCCTGGGCCTCCAACATTGTGAGCAAGGTGGGAGACAAAGCCAGGGCCTTGTCTGGAAGTCCTGTTGAGCACTGTGAAAACATTTGACTTCAAGTCAAGTTCAGTGGGAAAGAAGCAGATGCCACATTTGGGGGCGTAATATTATATTTTCCTAAAGAGAGACTTCATAACTTTCATCAGGTTTTCCAAGAGATCTGTGGGTCCCCTCCCCTAAATGTGAGTAATATCTGATTTAGGAGAGGAAAAGGTCCAGGGCCTTCTGGGGGGCAGAGCTTGGAGCCACACCCAGCATATTCCTCCAGGACACAGGGATTACTCAAGAGAAAAGTACAAACAGTAACCCCGCAGGAGGGCGAGGGAGGAATTTGGGACATTATCTGTAAAGCCTTAGGGGGTGGGCAACCTTAGTGCCCCAAGTGTGCCGGGAATACACAAAGAAAGGCGGAAGAAACGGCAGTGTTGGGAAGATGGGACTCTCCTGCCAGAAACCAGGTTCAAACTGGACAATGAATTTGAGACATTGAGAATGACAAGGGCCTCTTCGTTTCCTTTATTTAAACGTGTCTAAAATGTCTCCTAAATCTAAGTGTGACCTAACAATGTCTGAAATCCCCCTAAGGCTGGGCCCCCAAATTCCCTGGAGCCAATTTTTCAAGGGCCTCTCTCCTGGAGATGCCCCCTTCCCTTCTCCAGAGAGTTACAGGAAAGGTGAAAGCAATCGCCATTTTTGCTCAACTGATTTTTAAACTCCCCCCCCGCCACCCTCAGTGTGCCCCACACCCCTCCTGCCCAAAGCCTAGCCAAGGTGTAGAGGTGGTTTGGAAGGGCCTGGACTTGTTAATCAACCTAAACAGTCTCATTCGTTTGCAAGGTGCATTGCTGTTAATTAAAACTGCGATTCTCCTTGTGCCCAGGCGGCGGCTGCTGTTGTCAGAATAATTAGACAGCATAGGATGGTTTTCACGCAAATCCCTGGCAATTAGAGTCGGCACTGGATCAGGTTTGCAATCCCGGTGAAGTTTTCAACCAGATTTCCTCTGAGGGTGGCTTCTGGAGGAAGGTGGTGATGGGGCAGGGGCGTCAGGGAAACGGGGGGATACAAGGGTGTGAGGGTCAGGTATCTGCTCCCCAAACCCTCTGGGAGGGGCCCAGCGTGCAGTGAACGAACTGTGGGAAGCAGTGTGATCGTCAGTCTGCTTAAGATGTGAGTCTCTCTCCTGCAGAAGCCGTGCAGGCTGACCCTCCCCGGGGCACGTGCGCCCCCGAGCCCTCCCGGGCTCTCATCTTGCTGGGAGGGTTTTTCCCTTTAGCCAGGAGGCCCAGTAACTCATACACAGCTGACAGCCCTGCCGACCCTAAGATTAAATTCTTAAGGGTTCTCAGGAATCAGGCTTTGTGTTCCTGAAGGGTCGCAAAAGGCATGCCAGATTTGGACCAGTCTTGGAGGGTTGGTGGCCTGTGATGGGTTAAATGGGCTGGAGCAGCAGGACCCCAGGATGCCTTAAAGAAATGCCCAGCTAAGGGTCCCACTGACAGCAGAACTATCCCAGTGCGGCATAGATAACACCCGGGGAGGCCGGGACCTGAAGGGACCTGGCCCAGCCACAAGGAGGACTGGGGAGGAGATAACTGTGGGGACACACCCTGACCTCTTATCCGCCGAGGGCTCTGCCTTTGCCCCGCCTTTGTGAGCAAGGTGGCAGTGGCAGAGCCACCGGGGGGCTTCTCTCTAACTGGGCGGAGCCAGGAGGGGTCTACCTGGGGACACCTGCTGGGGGGAATCAGACCACCCCAGTGGTCTCAGATCAAGCATCAGGTTGACGACAGAAGACTCAGCGAGGGCAACACACCCTCCCTCCCCGTCCAGTGCGTCAGCCTCCCCGTCCAGTGTCTTGGAGGGAGTTGGGTGATCTCCGGGAAGATTGAGAGAAAGGTCAGGGGCTGAAGTTTAATGACAGGAGGCTGGAAAGAGAGTTAGAGAAAAAAGAAAACCTGGGATGCATTCATGAACTGTGGTTGGCTGCTCCAGCATAATTTGGGTTTGTAAATTATCCTTTTTTTTCTTCATTTTCTTTCCCATCTTGGAACAGTCTCCCGCGTCTCAATCGGTCCCTAAATCCCGCCTTTCAATTTAGGATGCACCAATCAGCAGCTAACCTGCTGGTTGCTAAGAGACAGGAGGTGGGGGAGTCAGAGGCTTTGTCCCCGCGCCCACCCAGGAAAATTCCCCCTGCTTTTGCTTGCCTGCCTCAGATGCTCTGACTCCTCTCTGCCCCTCTCCGATTTAGCTTCAAGCCCAAAGAGTCAAGCAGAAATGGTTTAGGGGGAAAGCCAGGTGAAGCATATCTTGGAAAGACTTTATCAGGATTCAGACAGATGGAAGGTACCCTCTCAAGTTTCCCCAGCTTTTCCCTGGGTCAGAGGAAGGAACTTGTGTATATGGCATCTTGGGTACAGGGTAAATTGTTGGTGGTAATGGAAGTTGTTCCCCTTATAAAGAGGGGCTGATTCGTTGTCCTTCCCATCTTTACCTAAATTTGGCTGTGTGGGGGTTGAGGAAAAAAACCCCAGGATCACAGCTGTGCAAAGAACCAGGGGGCTGTTTGGGGAAGGGGTGCCAGGGCCTATGGGTACAATGTGGAAGGTGGAAGGGAACATCTGAATGGGAAAGAAAGGTACATTTTGAGAGCTGGGGTTTGGAAGGGAAATTTGGGGGGGTTCTAAGCAGAAGGTGAGTCCAGTGGAGCCCCTCCCTTTTCAGCTTCTCAAGCTTCATAATCTTGATTTTCAGTTCCCTCTATACATCCTACACAGAAAAGACCAGGCATAGAAACCGGGATAAAGAAAACTCACTTAGGTAAGGAGTGAGTCGCAAACCTGGTTCCATATACTGAGAGCAGGATGGAGAGTGACATGAAGTGCAGGGAGGGGCCTGCGAGGTCAGCGCGCACCCAGCTGTGTGCGGTTCAGACGCTGACCAAGAGGTGAGCACGCAGACGGTGCTAACACACACCAAGAGATGTCTCCAAGAGATGGAGACAGACACATGCATGTGTGTGCACACACACACACACACACACACACCTCACACTGGGACTCAGGTCATGCTGGGCAATAAACCTCAGAGAGATGATTCCCAGGAAGTGGCTTTTAGAACTGCCTTGACTTGTTCCCTGGACTAAGTAAGGTTCCCCCAGGACGCTTCTCTCCACCTACTCCTGCCCCCTCATCTCCAAACAAAACCAGCAGGAGTCAGGGAGATAGAAGGCCCAGAGGAAGACTGGGCAGCCAGACAGGGCGGGGCAGTCATGCTCCGGGCTCACCTTCACTCTCCGTCTTTCTCTCCGGTTCCCATTCCTGCCTCGTTGGCTCTCTGCGGCAGGTCCTCTTCTTTCCTTACCTGCTAAGCCATCTCTGCTGGTTGGTTGGTCAGGCTTACTGCTCTGGGCCCCTTCTCTCCCCCCTTGAGTAGGCAGTAACCCCACACCTCTGAGAGCACATCTGTGTGCCCTCAGGATGTTTATACATCCTTCACTTTCTCCCCAGGCCAGCTAGAGAAACAGATGCTGGCAAGGGGTCTGGCGTGAAATGTCTCCCGTTCTCCATTCTCTTTCCACTCCTCTACATCCCCAAACAAAATAAGCAACTACCAGCTTCATAAAAACAGCAGAGAGTTTAATTCAGGTTGACAGGTGGGAAGGCAGCTAGGACTTGCTTCCAAGGGTGTCCGAATGAGAAGGCTGTCTTTCTGAGAGAAAAAGGGAGGGCAAGGAAGGCCCAGAGGCCTGACGGCAGAACAGGGCTACGAGCAGAGGCGTGGCCACGCAGTGCAGTACAGCCAGGGCTTCTGCCAGCTGCAGCAGCAGGTCCAGGGCCTGCTGGGCCAGACACGTAGACAGTGCCAAGACCTTGGACCTCACTAGGTAGTCTAATCCCAGAGCCGCCCCGTGAGGCCACCAGAAAATGAACCAGACCCACAAGATACTAACCCAGGGACACTGCCCCCTGCCCAGCGCCTTCTTCACCCCCTTGACACCCAACAATCCCAGGGGCAACAAGACGAAGGCCACAAAGCAGACAACCACGTGCACGAGCTGCAAAGCCCCTTGGCCCCTGCTGAAGGTCAGAGTGCAGAGGCCCTGGGAAGTGTCACTGGCCAAGGTGATTGGCAGTGCCAATAGGGCAGCCACTCCCCAGAGTCCCACGGTGAGGCGTTGGGTGAGGCCGGGGGCCCAGCCTGCGTGCAGCTGGGGGCCCAGGCACGCCTGGCAGCCTATCAGCAGAGCCTGGGCAAAGGCTGAGCTGTACCAGACCAGGTAGGCCAGGTGGCACACGGCTGTGTTGTGAGCACCATGCGGCCCTGGTGCCAGGATGGGCACCACGATGCTGAAGAGGGCACTGCCCACAGCCAGCGGGACCAGCATGGGCCGTTCGGGGCAGCGCTGCCAGTGGAAGAGAGGTCTGAGGAGTGCGAAGAGGACAGCTCCGCCCGCCAGGATGCCCAGGACGCTGGCGAGGATGAAGAAGGGAAGGGAGGAGGCGTCGAGCAGGGTACAGGAGCGGCACGGGGCAGCGGCCTGCAGGTTGCTGTCACTATAGTCCAGTTCGTAGGACTCATTAAAGTCGTTCTCATTAAAGGCATCCCAAATGTCGTCCCCAAAGGCCAACTGTGTTGAGTTGTCATCAGCCACAGGTACCTGGAGGACACCCCAGGGGGGGCAGTCAGAGCATCTAGTCACCCCGCTGAAGAGGCTCCTGAGAATCGAGGGGAAGCAGGTGGGAGAGGGACTGAGGGGAAGCTGGGCTGGAGGGGTGGGTGCAGGGAGACCTTGAGGAGGCACAAGGTGGGAGGCGCAGGGGCTGGTGGAGGAGCAGTGGGTCCTGGGGAGAGCCGGGCAAGGCCGTTGGAGGGTGATGGAGACCTGGGTGGAGCTGACTGAAACGCTCAGGAGGAGGAGAGGAATGGGGGTGCCTGGGGTGAGGAGGGGAGATGGGGAAGGAGGGAGGGGGTGTGAGAGGGGGAGAGGAGGAGACAGGCTTAAAGGTGCAGGGGCAGACAGGGAGGGTGGCAGGGGCGCGCGGTAGGGGCTGGGAGCTGGCCCCGCACTCACTCACCGGGTGCAGGCAGTTCCCCATAGTGCTGCTGGGCTCAGGCCAGGCTGGGAGGAGGGCTGGGGAGGTGCGGCTGCCTGCTGTGCTTCCCAGATAAGTGTGAGGGGCTAATGAAGGCCAGCAGCTCTGGGCAGGGCCCTGGGACAGGCGCTGGGGGGGCCTCCAGGAAACCTTCGCTTCACCCCACACCCACTGCCTGCCCATGGGGCACTGGCCTGGGGCTTCCTGTTTTGAGGTTGGAGCCTGATGCTGGGGACCTGCACTTGGGAAAGGGTAAGGTGGGGCCCAGAACACGTGTATTTTCCCGAAGGTGGACAGGGAGGCCAAGAAGCCAGGGGGCTTTCCAGCCAGAGGGCCTTTTCAAGCACAAGGAAGGAAGAGGGGCCAGGGGTGAAGTGTGAAACAGAGATAAGAGATGTGCTGGGAACTTGGGGGGAAAGGGCAGCCTCGTGTTCCCGCCGCTTCTCCATCCCCTTGAACTTGAGCCAAGGGAGGGTAGTTCAAAAGCCCTGTGTCCATGGGAGGGGGTGTTAGTGGCGCCTGAGGCAGGATCCTCGTGCCACTGCCAGCCTGAGTGGCAGGTGTGCGGCAGGGGCACTTTGTGGGTCCATCTGGGCCTAGGAACGGACTTACCTGTGTGTGGCTGTGTGCCGGATCCCCTCTGAGTGGGAGCTGGTGGCCCAGCTCGGGTGTTTCTCTGTGACAGGAGGGAGGCCTGGGGGCAGCGGGTGAGGCTGTAGAAGGAAGCTCCTTCAGGCACTGACTGGGCACTTGTCTCGCCACCTACGGGCACAGGGAGTGCCTTTCCCATACCAAACGGAATACATGGCCTGACGAGTTAAAGCACGCTCTGGGGGACAATGGGACAGCGTATTTTAAAATGGGACTGTTGCCCGTGGGGTAATCTCTATTCATATCTCTGTGAGGGACATAAAGACCCTGGAACTGCTACACTGGCCTGGCATCTTTGCAGTATGTGAAGTTTCTAACTGGGGGGAAGCTTCTATGGCTCTCTGGATGGCAGAGAGAACACTCCCCCTGCAGGCAGAGCCCCCGCCGGTCCCTCTGTTCTTCGGTGGCCCCTTCCTCCTCCATTACTTTCCATGATCTTCTGTTTCATCCCCCACATCTGCATTTTATTCCCTCCACTGGGGAGACAGCCTGGACATTGGGAGAGGTGAGTCATGGAGTGTCCTAGTCAGAGTGATGAGGTAGAGAGGGCTGGTGAGGTGACACTATGTCATTTGTCCAAGAAGGCTTGTCTTCTGCCGAGACCCAAGGGGTAGGCCCCCCTCCCATTCCCAAAGGTGCAGGAGGATGGGTACCTTAGAGGGACTCTCCCCTTCGCTCCCAGTACACTAGCTCCAGTGTGAGGTTCAACGTGAGAGGTGTTAGGAAGTGACTTTGGGGAGGTCCTGGAGCCCTGCTGGCGGGTCTCCACCTTCATCTCAAGCTTCTCCAGCGCTACCTGGCAGAGGGCAGTGGGGAGCCGTCCCGAAAGCACGGGCCCAGCCAAAGGGGTGACACACTTCTCTTCCTTGGAGAGGTGGACTATCTCCACACAGAGATGCCCTTGGGAAAGCAGATGGCACGAGCCTCCTCACCCCCCGAGGTAGCAGGTGCAGGGGACACCAGCGGAAGAGCCCTGTGTACACGCATGTGCCAACAGCAGCAAGAAGGAGGCAGCCCAGCGACACGGGTAATCCAGATATATTGAGGGTGGCCCCTCTGAGATTAGCACAGGAGAGTTAGAAAGATTATAAAGGTACACGGTCCCCTCCCTGCTCCCTTCCCCACCCTCCCACCCACAGACGGACACACACAGCACAACGCCCCCGCCCCCCGCCCCCCGTACAAATATGGCTTCTGTGTAATATGGACAGAGTGGTTCAGCTCAAAGAGGAGAAGACCTTTTCCCAAAAGCAGGTGTTGGGAGGTGGGGAGCCACAGGCCTGGGGCCCTCGGCTGCCTTGCTGCTGTGAGAGGAGGGGCCCTGGCTTCGGCGAGGGGCTGCCTCTGGTGCCCAGGGGCCCTAACCAGCGGCTGGAAGATTCACAACTGTATTACCTGAACTCGGGGGTGGGGGTGGGGGAGGTGCAGGCAGCCCGGCTGGCTGCCCTGTTCTGCACACCCGGGGCTGTCAGAGCTGGGAGGCCACGCCCAGGAGGGTGTGAGTGGCACCAAGGGGAACCTCGGGTCTGAGGGGGGGCAGCCGGCTGGGACAGGGAGGGTGAGCAGCCTCACCTCCACGGCAACGCAGGCGGACAGAAAATCAAAGCTGGGGTGGAGATGGGAAGGAGGTAGCCCTCCACACGCTGGGTACAGACGACAGGGAAAGAAGGGACAGTGGTGGTTCCAGGGTCAGTGCCAGGGAGAGGCCTGAGGGATGCATAGCAAAAGCTGTGGCACCGACTCTGTGGCTCCAAGAAGGTAAGTCGAGGCAGGGGTTCACTTGCTTGTGTTTCAGGGACAGGCGAGGTGGACAACCAAGCAAGGAGGCATCCTGGGGCTGTTTTCTCAGTGACAGATAGGCTCTGGGGGTGGCAGGGAGAGTCCTGGGATGGAGCAGCCTCCCAGGTGAGGTACCGGGCTAGAATCCTCTGCTCCCCAGTCCCTCCTGTACACGGCCTGCAGCCCAGCACCTGCCCAGGCCCCCCTGCCTCGCACTCATGCACACGTATGGCATGCACACGCACAGCCACCCCACGCTCACAGAGTCCACATCACTCCCTTCGTTTGGGCAGGAAACAGCTCAGTGCAGTGAAGCTCCTTTTAGTATTTTTGTTGTTATGTCTGCCTGGCTGCTGAGGGAGGAGGGCCTCAGGATGGCTCAGGGACCGGGAAGGGGCGTAGGGCGGCACAAGACGGGAGGAGCAGTTGCTGAGCAATGCCGGAAGAAGAGTGGTTGCCGTGCAACAAACAGTCCAGGACTTGGTTGGGGTGAGGGGCCCCCGGGGTGGGGAGCAGTGCCTCTCCCACAGCTGCTGCAGCAAGGAGGGGCACCTTGCTCTGCTACCCCCCCCCCCCCGGGAAGTTCCTGTGAAAGGGGCCTGGCTTCATTCACTGTGGGGCAAAGTGTAGCCGGCACCGTCTCTGTTATCCTTCCTCTCGGAATCCTTGCAGGGGGCCCACATCCTCTCCATGTGCAAGCCCCAGCTTTCTGCACGGCTGCATGACATCTGCAGGTCCCATCTCCTCAGGGACCCCCACCCGCCTTGCCCATCATGGTAGAGAACGGATGTCAGGGTGACACTTGCTTCTCTGTCCAGAGCTCACGGTGTGTGGCTACAGAGGAAAAGCCCGTCTGGCTCCTGCTCCCAACCTCCCCCTTCCCAGACGAGTCTGGGAATCGCCTGTTGTAGGGATGGCGGGCTGGTGGGAACCCCCCAGTCCAGCCCAGCACCTCCCGTCCCCTCCTTTGCCCCTCCACCACGTTGTCCTCCTAACACTCCAGCTACTTTTCCTTTCCTCACCCCAGGGCCCCTGCCCCTCCAGCCTGGAGACAGATTTGATTTGGGATTGTTACAAAAATAATAATAACCCAAACGCAGAGAAGCCACGGAAAGGGCTGGGGGCAACCCTCCCTCCCCCACCCGCCCGCCTCCCTCCCCGATCCAAACCGAGTACAAAACCGCACCCAAAGCAGACATTCTGTACAGGGGGGTGGGGGGCCGGGGAGCAAGCGGGAGGGGCGGCCCTGGGGTCGCTCTGTACAAGTCCAGGTTGGTGATGGCCCCAGCAGTCCCCTCGGGGCCCCTGGGGGCGCAGGAGGTGGTGGTGGTGGGTGCCCCTAGATGAAATACTCCTTCTTGTCGTCCCCACCCGACTGCCCGCCTTCTGCGTTGATGATGGCCGTGTCTGCGTCCGGGGCGTCGTCCGAGCCTTTGGCCTCGTGTGTCAAGTACGTTCCTGAGGAGAGAGGGGCTCCCCCTGTCAATTCCTGAACCTCTGAAGCCCCACAGCCCCGCTGCCCACCCCCCCAGCACACCCTGCTCCTCAGCTTCTCCTGCCGGGAGCTTTCTTCCTGCCCACCTGACCTCACTTGCATCTGGCTGCCAATAGCCCTCACCTGACTGCACCCCATGAATTAATGAATCCTGCCTTTAATAAGAACCTCATCTATAAGATAGGCAAAAGAATGTGTGTGCATGTGTATAGATGTGTATGTGTATGCATGTGTACACATGTGCCTATGTGTGCATGTGTATGTGCATGTATGTACATGCATATGTGTGTGCGTGTGTGTGTGTGTGTGTGTACACACCTAAGGTGGTGACAGGGAAATGGCTGTGTCTCGCTGTGAGCAATGCTGCAGGTGAGGTGTCCCTGGGGTCTGGTCGGCTCATGTAGCCCAGCTGGCAGTGGTGACAGAGGGGAGAGAAGGCATGGAAGGAGAGGTGAGAAGAGAGATGGTGTGGGGACAAGGGGCCAGAAGACCAAAGGACAAGGAAAAGAGAGGAAGCGAGTGCGGGAAGAGATGGGAGGGAGAGTCGGACGTCTGCCCGTTCTCGGCCTTAAGCAGGAGACCCTGGAGGCAGAGGAGCCTGGGAGCGACGGCTGCCGGAGCGGGACGGTGGAGTCCATGAGGGTGATCACCAGGTGGCTGGGCTTTCCTGCGGGGTCGCGGTGCTCAGTTATCACACCTGCTTCTCCCTCAAACACTCCACGGGGCCGAGCGAGTCCCCAGTGGCCCTCCTGGCAGCGGCCCCCGCCTGCCTGCCCCCGGCTCATCTCCCTGCCCGCTCCCAGGCTCTGCCACTTCCCGCACGCCTCTGACCTTTGTGCCGGATCAGGTAGTGGCCGAGGAAGATGAGGAGGATGAGCAGCAGGAAGACGATGAAAGCCACGATCCCACCGATGACGGCGTGGTAGGTGCCGGAGGACGAGGGCACCGGACTGGGGTCTGGGGGCGGGGGGCGCACAGTCAGACCTGGGAGGAAGCCTGTGGCACAGCGTTTCTGAGCGGGCTGTGATAATTGAACCCAGCAGAGAACACGGACTGACGAGAGGGGCATGGGGTGGCATCCTTCAGCAAAGGGCCTGCCTTATTTTGTACCTTTATTTCTTACACAGTGTCTGGAACAAAGTAATTGTTAAACAAAAAAATCAACGTATTCAGGAATGAATTGATATATCTGCTTACCCTCAACTCTCTTGAGTGGAGTCTATGGCACTAAAGCCTGCTTACGTCAAAGGCCTTTGCTTTAACATCTGCATGATCCCTTGTTCTCTTACTTTCAGGTTGTCAGAGTTATTCCTTCCATATCCCCCGTGGTCTTGTAACCTCCTGACTGTCTGCTCTTCTGAGCTGGCTTCGCTAGGGGCTTCTTCTCAACCTAGCCACCCACTGCTCTAAGATCGGAGAGAGAAGAGCCCTGAAGAGCTGACGGAACCCAGAATCAGGCACTCTGAGAGCACCTTGCCGAGGACGATGGACGGTGGCCCCTATGCAAAGAGCAGCGCCCCTTCT